ATGTAACATCAAAATGTGCAAAGGTTCGCATTTCACACACAGACCAACCCTCATCACAACGTCAAGTCAAATCCTTCGTTAAAAACACATTTGCTACAGAGTCAGTAGTCTGCAGACCCCCAGGACATCAAACAGCAGTAGCACTGGAGCCAGGGTTTGAGCCACATTAGTGTTGGCAGGTTTAAGTGCAGGTTAGGACTCAGAGTGGCTGATGTCCTGTGAAGACGACCGCAGGGACGGCAGGCGCTCCGCAGCTTTGGCTCTTTCAGCCAAAAATTTGTCAAACTCTGTAGAGAAAAACAGACAGGTCTGAACGACGTCACAGATTCAAGGATCGTATAGAAAAAAAAAAGAAAATACTGGTGAAAAACACTGGAGGGTGGAGATGAATGTGAAAAATCCTCAGAAGAACTGTCTTTACACAGTTCCTAGCACTGTTAGTGCTGTAGTACTGGCACCGTAACACACGCCTTCAATGATTGATTGAACAAAAAAAAAATATCATGTAAAAAAGCCAAAGGCATTTAATCGCATCTTTGTGACACAGAGCACATACTCCAAACCAGTAGGTGGCAGGACTGCACCTAAGGGTTGTCAGGTGCACAGTACATCTATATAAATCTGACCACAGCTGCAGCAGTGGGTTAGTACATGAGCCTTTAGGTCCATCTAGTGGTCAAATATAAAAGCGCCAGATGATAATCGAAATGACCATTTTAAAGTACAAAGGTTGAAAAACAACGGGTCTAACTGTGTCCAGAGATGATTACAGCTGGGACCACCAGGGGGAGCAATCAGATCCTCACCTTCACTGGTCACGCCGTCGTCAACATCCTCGTACTGTAAACACAGACCAAACCGTTAGTTTCTCACACACATTTCAGCGCTGTGTGTGCGGTGAAGAACATTCAGGATGGTTACCTCATCGTCCAAGGCCAACCACTGCTCTATATCATCCATGACGTCCGACTGACTGACCGGGATCTGGGAAGAGAAGCAGAGCATCAACCGCAAGGCCATGACCACAGAGTGGACGTGAAGAGGAGACCAGGTTGGACATAGGACATCTGGACCGTGGAGTGGACACCACACACAAGACAGTCATGCAGACCATATATTTATGTCTCTGTGTCAACGAGATGATTCCAGACCACAGCAAAAAAGTCAGTCTCTCTGACCAAAACAAAAAAATAAACTACAATGAAAACTACAATGACAACGACAACCGCAATGGCAACTACAATGACAAGGACAACCGAATGACACCAACAATGACAACGACCACTACAACGACACACCCACCATTCCCCTCTTAACCATCCAGTCTAACTTTGGAGAGGAGCTGCAGGTGGAGGCTGGGCTGCCATCCTTCACACACACACACACACACACACACACACACACGGACAAGGAGGAAAACAGATTCATTTGACTGTATAAAAACTGTTGGTGTTCATATATGAGAGGAAGTCAGTCTACAGGAGTGAGGTCAGTCTACAGGAGTGGAGGTCAGTCTACAGAAGTGGAGGTCAGTCTACAGGAGTGAGGTCAGTCTACAGGAGTGGAGGTCAGTCTACAGAAGTGGAGGTCAGTCTACAGGAGTGGAGGTCAGTCTACAGAAGTGGAGGTCAGTCTACAGGAGTGGAGGTCAGTCTACAGAAGTGGAGGTCAGTCTACAGGAGTGGAGGTCAGTCTACAGAAGTGGAGGTCAGTCTACAGGAGGGGAGGTCAGTCTACAGGAGTAGGAGAAATGAGTCAGACTGTTAACTGTTCAACCAATGAGAAGAGAGAATGAGACCAGGTCTGTACTGTTTTAAACATGTTTCTATGCCCTGTTTTAAATTATTATCTGTTTTATTATTTGATGTAAAGTGTCCTTGAGTGTCCTGAAAGGCGCTTTTCAAATAAAATGTATTATTATTATTATTGTTCTCACCGTTCCTGTGGCCTGTAAACTGCTGAGGCGAGCGTGTGCGTGTCCGTCCACCCCATCCTCACCCCTGTCACTGAAACATCAGCACAGGTCAAAGGTCAGCTGCTGTACTTAGTGACCGCTCAGTTAACAGGAGGTAACAACAGACACTGTTAACCAGGTCCAGGTGGACCACATGTTTAGGACTGTTAGCAGTTTGAAGATGGAGTATTTTCCGTACCTGGGAGTTTGTCCAGTTGAAGTGTGTATTTGCGGTGACAGCGCCTCCTCTGACTCACTGGTGCCTGAGAGGAGGAAACAACACCAACAACACTGTAGGTTTGGACTCCACAGACCAGAGTCTGGATCAGAACCACACATTACTAATAACAAACCACTCACTGAGTTTAGTAAAGTGACTGGACAAACTGTCACTGGTCACTGACGCCACCCCCGACTCCTGGGACCGGGCTGTGAGGTCCAGCTCTGCCAGGTTGACGTAGGTGTGCTGCTGTGGAGCGGAGGAAGAAGATGTGAGTAGACGTGATCAGGGCTGCTTGTTGTTGTTGTTGTTGTTGTTGTTGTTGTTGACTTTCACCCACCTTCTCTGCTGCGTGTTGACCATTTGTCAACTGTCGTTCAAACCTGTGGACACACACACACACACACACACACACATTTATTATTATTCTTTATATTTATTGTTAATAATGAATCAGAGCACACCACTGTGACTGTGTCTGTCTGTGGTGTGTGTGTGTGTGTGTGTGTGTGTGTGTTGACCTGTGGTAGTGGTTGAAGGTGGAGTTCATCTGGTCGTTGGTCTCCAGCAGCTCCTGGATCAGTTTCTCTTCACTCAGTCTGGGGACCACCGTGACGATCCGCTCCTGCATTTCCTTACAAACTGTGTACAGCTGCTAATGACACAACCAAACAAAATGTGTGGGCGTGGGTTTGGGCGGGGGAGGCGGGGGGGCAGCGGGACAGATGTAACACAGAAATGTAGGACAGCAGCAGATCAGTTAAAGGAAGCCAACAGTTCCTCGGCCCCAAAGGAAAGAAGGAACAGGAACATCTCTGTGGAGTTGGTACTTTTTTACCTGCAGCAGTTCCATGTCGGCCTGTTTAACCGTGACCGGGTCCAGCTGAGTCATCAGGTCCGACATGGTGGTCAGGTTACTGCGGACCACACCCAGCTCTGTCTTCAGCTGCTTGACCTGGAAACATCAGAGGCGTTTGCTCCATGAACAAAGGTTTGGAGGATCAAAGGTCAATGTTTGTCTAACAGACCAAGACCAAGACCAAGACCAAGACGCAGACCAAGACCAAGACCAAGACCAAGCTGAACTGGACTAAAGACCAGAGCCGACGGGATCAATGACAATAAGTCTCTAAGACAAAGAGTGCGATTAACAGACGTACCATTTAAGTCAAGGACTCAGTCAAGGACTCAGTCTTTTCTTAGTTGAAAAATACAAAAACTAGGAGACCTCAGGGTTATCAATGAATGAATTGATCACACGGTCACTAACTACTGACTAGTTGTCCAGATGAAGTGAAGAATGTCACCTGACTGGGACTGAAGCCATTTGTTCCCTCCACAATCTTTTTTAGTTCAGAGGTCTGGGGGGGAGTGAGCAGAGGTTTGGAGGAAAGGAATGCAGCAGGAAGAGTAGTGACGGCAGAACCGTTCTGAGACAAAGTCTGCCGGGTCAGAAATGACCCACAAGGAAACAGAAAGGAGAGGTGAGAGCAGAGCAGAGCAGAGCAGCCATGGGGGGAGGAGAGGGGAGGGAGGTGGGTGTTACCTGTTTAGGGTTCTGGGCAGCGATGTGAGCATCCAGTTCTGTCACTGGGAACTCCAGGCCCTTCCTTCTCAGGTCTTCATACACCGACACCACACCCGTCAGGTCCGGTGAGCTACGGAATGCATCCGCCCACGCCTTGGTTTGGAACGACACAAATGACACAAGAGCTGAGCACCAGGTGACGCACCAGGTGACATACCCGCCCTCTCCCCTCTCCCCCGCCCCCTCACCTGTATGATGCCCAGCACACGGTCGTGCACAATTAACGGAGGGTTATTCCTGGGAATGATGGACCGGACCAGAACCCCTTCAATGAAATCCCTTGTGGTCACGAGGATGTGGAACCTGTAGCCGCAGTTCTTCACGCAGGTCTCCAGAACCTGAGAGCAGCAGAACACCACAGACGACCGAGCGTCAGAGTGACCGCTCAACAAGTGAGAAGAAGAAGAAGCAGCAGCAGTAACAGCAGCAGCAGTAACAGCAGCAGTAACAGCAACAGCAGTAACAGCAGCAGTAACAGCAGCAGCAGCAGCAACAGCAACAGCAGCAGCAGTAACAGCAGCAGTAACAGCAACAGTAACAGCAGCAGCAGAAACAGCAGCAGTAACAGAAACAGCAGTAACAGCAGCAGCAGCAGCAGCAGCAGCAGCAGCAGCAGCAGTAACAGCAGCAGTAACAGCAACAGCAGTAACAGCAGCAGCAACAGCAGCAGCAGCAGAAGCAGCAGCAGTAACAGCAGCAGTAACAGTAACAGTAGCAGCAGCAGCAGCAACAGCAGCAGCAGCAGCAGCAACAGCAACAGCAGCAGCAGTAACAGCAGCAGTAACAGTAACAGCAGTACCAGCAGCAGCAGCAGTAACAGCAGCAGTAACAGCAGCAGCAACAGCAACAGCAGCAGCAGTAACAGCAGCAGTAACAGTAACAGTAGCAGCAGCAGCAGCAACAGCAGCAGCAGCAGCAGTAGCAGCAGCAGCAGCAGCAGCAGTAGCAGCAGCAGCAGCAGCAGCAGCACTCACACTCAGAGCCAGCATGACCTCCTTAAAGTTCTTATTTCCCACAATCCTTTTCCTTAGGGCTCTGACGGCGTCTTTTGGTCTGAAACGACAGCGGTCAGAAGAACGTGACGTCAGTCGGATGACGAGCAGACGGGGATTTGAACACACACACACAGAGGGTACACACCCGTCTTCTAAGCTGTTGATGATGTCACAGATGTCCATGTTGAGGGTCCAGTCCTCTGAGGGGAGACTGGAGCTGGTGGCAGACTCTGGACATATTTACAAGATACGTGTCTGTCTACTGACCCCAGACTGGACATCACAGATCAAAGTGAAGCTCAGTAAAAGAAACAAAACAATAAAACACGGGTCTAAACATGAGGCTGCGGCCCAGTCTGATGAGATCTGGGTCAGGACAGGAGGACGTGGCCCATCTACTGACGGGATAAACACACACACAGGCAACAACCAATCAAACGGCCTAATTTCTGCCTCTTCATCCCGCCCCGGACATGTCACTGTACTGTGGACATGTCAATCACTCAAAGCCTTCGCTACTTTCTGGATTTCTTTGTAAATTCGTTTGGTGAAAATGAATTATTGCGCATGTGCATAAAATAAAAGCGCGACAACAACTAACGACAGCGTTCCCTTCACTTCAGCTGCCGTGAGAGTCGTCGGTGCAACGCCCTAGAGTACAGCTCACCGAGCCTTTAGCAACACGGTCTCAGCATTTCTGAAAACAATGTTAACGTGAATGCAGCTCACCGATCCGCTGACCCACCGCCGTGCTGAACGGATTCCCCCATAGAAACTCCATGATGGAGGCGAAGGTCCTGCCGAGCCGAGCCGAGCCGAGCCGAGAGCAAGCCCGATCCCTGCTGCAGAGACACCACTGCTTCTAATGCTAATGCTGCTGCTGCTGCTGCTGATGTTCTCACTACAAAGCGAAGTAGGACGCGAGTAAAACGGCGTCATTTCTTAAAGGGAACGAAGCCCAACTAGGTTTCCATTCAAATTAACTGCGCCCCTCACTGGTCGTCTCTATGTTTGCAGTGTACCAAATATTTGCGTGAATATTAATAGTAACAATAACAATAATAAAATAAAGTTTTAAAGCGCTGAGAAATGTCATATTTATTACCTTTAGATCAATAACTTTTCATTTTTCATTACATTCTCACATTTACAGACAGACGGTTGACAGACGGTTAACAGACAGACAGATGTGTCTCTGTCTCACTGCCTGATTGTGCAGACAGGAAATGACGTGATATGACGAGTGTACGACAATGGGTCAAGACCAAAACTATAGTTGTGTCTAAGGTCAAGGGTCATGGTACACGGCCATGTGTCGACAGCTGCAGCACCAATGAAAACATGGGTTTCAGTCTCAGGTTAATGGTTAATGGTTAACACACACACACACACACACACACACACTGGAGACTGGACCTGACAACACAGTGATGTGGATTTGAGGTGAAATAATTGATGTTTTTATTACGGTTCTTTTCCACCATTCCATTTTTGGAAAAAACAGTTGAACAAACAGAGGCGGCAGCGGAACCTCTGTGCTCCACCCTCCACCCCCCCTTCTTCAGCATCTTCATCCACCCACAGGCGACCCCCACCCCTCACCCCACTGTGCTTTTTTATTTGCAAATGATGTTAAGCATTATATCTAAAGTTTTCAGTCCATCAGACAGGTCAAAGGTTAAAGGGCAGACCCCACATCACATCCTCATGCAAATGAAATGTACAGTCGAAAATGGAGACGACGCTCAGTCACGTGCTGCCGTTGGTGGATGACGACCAGTTTAAAAACCTCGTTTTGGACCAAAGTTCAGTTCAGACTGAAGGACTTCACGTCCTCAGAAGATGTGCTCACACCAGGAGAGAAAGGTTGGTTCTCAACATACGGTGTCTGTATCACTGGTGGTACCTGGACTCTCTCCAGTGTTTGCTGTTTTTTGTTTTTTGTGTTGACAAAAGAGAAGTGGGGGTCGGGACAGAGACCATGATCCCAAGACCAGTACCAGAAATAATCCTGGAACTCGGACTAAATGAACTTTTTTTACTTTTAGTTGAGGCAGAAGAGCCAGCTGTTGTCTGATTTGATTTGGTCCAGACTGGTCCAGCTTCAACCCACACCAAGAGGGTAGGAGTACCAGACTGATCAGAACCAGAGCCCACCTTCAATAGTTTAGCTTCCTCCCACAGTGATTCTTGCCCCTGGGCTCCTGCATGGCCTTATCCAGCCAGTCTCTCTCCTGTTCAGACTCGGAGTCACTAGCCTCGCTAACGTTAGCCACCAAAAGTCGAGAGTAGTTGATCCTGCGCTGGCGGGGGGTTTTCCACTGCAGCAGGAGGAGACACACGCACCACACCGTCAGAGCCACGGCCACTCCTCTGAACATCCACGCCACACCAAACCTCTCTGCCACAAACCCTGCAGCAACGCTCCCCAGGCCGCCCCCCAGGTGCAGAGTCAGAGCGCTGTACACTCTCCTCACGTGTCTCTGCGCTTCAGGTGTGGCTACGTCCTCACACTGGACATCCACAGCCCACCAGAGGGCGCCGCTGCTGAAGCAAGTCACAGTCTGAGCAGGCAGCGCAGACCAGGGCCCCCACAAGACAGAATAATAGAGACACTGCAGGCTGAGCACGGCGGCCCCCCCCGCCAGCACCCGTCCTGAGCTGAGGAGTCTGGACACTCTGTCAGCGACGAGAGGGAAAGTGGTCTGAGAAAACAGAGCCACGGCCACGGCGAGGCCCATGTGCAGCTCAGTGGCCCCGTGGTCCTGCATCTGCCACAGGAGGAAGTTCTCCACCGCAGCGACCGCTGCCCCCACCATCAGGGTGGTCACTGCACAGAGCAGAGCGCGGGGAGACCCCCGCACCAGCTGCATGGCCTTCAGGAGCCCGTTGGCCCGCTCTCGCTTTTTGTTCAGGTACAGAGGGAGGTAGACGGCGGCCGGCGCGGCCAGGACCGCCACGCTGCAGTAGCAGTAGAAATGAACGGCACTGCGGGGGGTTTCACCGGGGAGGGTGCAGTTCAACTGGCTGACCAGCAGCCCTACACCTGCGGCCCCGAAGGCTGTTCCCAGTAAACTCCACAGGGTGGTGCTGCTGTAGCGGTCGGACGCGTCTGCAAAATCAAGATAGTCGTAGAGTCCGTCGTCTGCCGTCCACTCCAGGGGGGCCCACACAGACTCCCACGCCACTACAGTGATCAGGATCAGGAAGAAGAGCTGGTGTTGAGGGTCCATCACCTTCAGGTACCCCAGGAATTCAAACCGTCTGACCTCCTCCGGCGTCCTGTCCTCCTGCTGACGCGTTTCTAGGTACGACCTCTTCCTCCGAGCTACAGCTGCAGGCGACTCGCTGCTGGTGTTGTGAGAACCGGCAGAGCTGCTGGTACTGGGTTCTGCTGCTGGTCTACTGGTCTCATTGACCTCCGCTGACCCCGTCCGAGTGTGAGGAGATGTGCTCGTGTTTCCGAGAGAGGATTTTTCCTCAGCGGTCGTTTCTGTGGCGACTGTGACACCAGGGGACGACAGCGATGTTTCAGGTTCTTTGCTGGTGATGAGCAGCTTATCACCAGGTCCTCCTGTTGGACGGCTGCTGTGATTTGACAGGCTGCACGAGCTGAAGTGCATGTTCTCACCACTAGGTGGAAACAGCAGCAGAACCAGAACCACCGCAGCTGAGCAGACCAGAGAGCCGCCGATCACCACCCGCCTTTTGTTGTAGTGTTTGGACAGCAGGCTGGCCAGGGGGCTCCACACCAGTGATACCAGGTGACTGGCACCCATGACCATGCCCGTCATGGCAGGGCTGAGGCCCAGCTGTCTGAAGTACAGCGTGAGGAAGGGGAGCAGGCAGCCTTTGGCACAGGAGCACAGGAAGGTGAAAAGTCCGGCCAGAGCCAGAGCTCGCTGGATGTCAATCTGTCTGGTCCGGCTCATGGTCCTGGTCCGGCACGAAGACGTGGAGCCGCTGGGACGGACAGTCTGACACAGAAGAAGAACAAGAAGAACAAGAAGGAGAAGAAGAATAAGACCCACAGAGAAGAAGAAGAAGAAGAAGAATAAGACCCACGTTCACAGAGTTAGAACCAGAATACTGTATATTAATACATATTCCTGCATATTACTGAATTTTAATACATATTACTGCATATTACTGTATATTAATACATATTCCTGCATATTACTGAATTTTAATACATATTACTGCATATTACTGTATATTAATACATATTCCTGCATATTACTGAATTTTAATACATATTACTGCATATTACTGCATATTAATACATATTACTGCATATTACTGTATATTAATACATATTCCTGCATATTACTGAATTTTAATACATATTACTGCATATTACTGTATATTAATACATAGTACTGTATATTAATACATAGTACTGTATATTAATACATATTACTGCATATTACTGTATATTAATCTGTATATTAATGTAAATTTCTTCCATATACAGTGTTCTCTATTTTGCGATATTTTACAGTAAGTAAAGATTTTTATATTTTTAAAAGACTGACAGAGACAGACTGACTGACCGGCAGACTGACAGACAGACTGACTGACCGACAGACAGACTGACTGACTGACTGACCGACAGACAGACTGACAGACCGACTGACAGACTGACTGGCAGACTGACTGACAGACAGACAGACAGAAAGACTGACAGACAGACAGACAGACAGAAAGACAGACTGACAGAAAGACTGACAGACAGAAAGACTGACAGACAGACTGACTGACAGACTGGCAGACTGACAGACTGACTGACTCACAGATCTTTATTAATTCCTCTGGAGTTCCCTACAGGAAATGTAGGCTCAAGAAAACAGTAAAAAACAGGACAGGTAAAATACAAACGTGTGTGTGTTCAGAGAGAGAGAGAGAGTGTGTGTATCCTGTTTACACACCTTCTGATCCTGCAGTGAGTTTCCAGGATCTAAAGGTCTTTGTGGATCAGATAAGAAGAAGAAGAAGAAGAAGAAGAAGAAGGTCCTGGAACAAAAACACGACACAGAGGGAACCCGTCCAGAACCACAGCTGCGGTCTCCGTGGACCCACCGGTCGGGTTCTTGTCGGCAGGGGAACCGCTCGTCCGTGACTGTGAAACACCTGTCAGTCTGGAAACACCTGTTCACGTCCGCGACGTTCGAACGATAAAAAAACAAAAAAAACAAAACTGTTTTTTTTTACCTGTTATCGAATGTCTTCACACGAGTCTGTTGAACATTTCCTGTCAGTTGTTTCTACATTTGATCCACGGCGTCGGTCGAACTTTCTCAGCCAAGAACTCCGGTCCTCTGCGGACTTTACATGCATTTAAATGTAGGCGTTCACCACCGCGTTGCCAGATCTTTCTAGAAAAACAAGCAATCAGGTCTTAAATTAAACTCAAAAAGAACCAACCCCCCATAATTTATCGACGGTTTTCCTGGCTCTGTCCACTCATTCAGACCACGTGGTTCAGACCAAACCAGTCGATGAGTCCAGGTACTAGTACCAGAGAGACACAGACCGTTCATGTCCTTGTCCTCCTGCTGCTGGTTACGACTGACCGAGCTCACCGTCTTCATTAAACAAAGTGGAGTCAAGAAGCATAAAAATACAGACTTGGCAACCACGGTCCACGCACACCGGCTCTTTTACACCTGCGGCATTTTCCGCAACTACGACGCCCTCTATCGACAGGCTTGACTTCTGTTCATATTTGTCTGTAAATGTATGATAGGACTGTGCGGTGTTTCAGTCGATCTTTCTTTGTTTTTAATAAGGGTTAGGAGGGTTAGGCCACGCCCAGGAGGAAGTTCAGACGAGGTGAGAACAAAGAACAAACCCCGACTCAAAGATTTGGTTTTATTGATGTGACGGAAACAGAAAACTTCAAAATAAATACTTTAGTTCTGGAACGATCTGATTCAGTCCAGACTGTTAGGTCAGATGACACGCTGAACACACACACACACACACACGTTCATGAGGACAAACGTCATTGAAGGAGAACAATCCTGTGTTTTATGCAGAGTCTGGAGAAGGTCAGGGGTTCGATGCTGAGAAGGAGGTGATGGGGAGGCAGAGCAGGGAGCAGTAGGACGGGTGCAGCGGCCGGACCTGTCCCGGCAGGTGTTGGTAGGATTTCCAGTCGGAGCTGCTTCCTGGTTTACAGCACAGAGACACGTCACACCTGCAGTCGAAGCACAGACACTGGAGCAGTGGACCAAGGTCACGGAACCAAACCCTGTTCTGGGTTCTACTGACTCGTCACACAGGAAGTCGTGATTTAGCTGAAGCTCTGACGCGCACGCGTGTGTGTGTGTGTGTGTGTGTGTGTGAGGCTTCACCTGCTCACGCTCTGGATGAACTTCTTCTCGTCCTGGTCCAGACACACAGCAAACGTGGTTCCTTCTCCACCCACCTCCACCTGCACCCGATCCACCGTCACTTCTGACACTGAGATGAGCTGCCAGAGAGGACAGGGAGGAGGGAGGGGTCAGAGTGGACAGGGAGGAGGGAGGGGTCAGAGTGGACAGGGAGGAGGGAGGGGTCAGAGGTGAGGAGGAGGAGAACTCTGCTCACCTGGTTCAAACCCTTCTTGGCTTTAGAACCGTTCCTCTTCAGAACCTCCTTGATGGTCAGCTGCAGACTCTCAGCTCTTGAATCTGGACACAAAGTTTTTGGTCTGCTTCAGAACCAGAATAAGAGTCAAAAACATTTGTTCTCATTATAGACTGAGGGCCGTGTGATGTCACCGTGCCACAGATGCTTCCTGCGGCCTCTCTGAAGGTCGATGGACGTACACGCCGTCTCCGTCTGGATCCACTGACTCCTCCCACTGACGGCCACCTGCACACAGGTGTGGATGCACGGGTCAGCTTCAAGGCTTTAACACCTGTCTGACAGTTCAACATGCAGATGGAGACGTGACCTTGTTGAAGGTCACAGTGAGGGTCAGAGGAACAGCCCGACGCTCCTCTTCAATCCCCAGTCTTTTGCTGGCAGCACCTTTCAACAACAACAACAACGCTGTACACATGAAACTGTGTGTGTGTGTGTGTGTGTGTGTGTGTGTGATGCGGCCGTCTGCTCACTCACCCAGAGCCTTCACAGCCCTGGTTCCTGCAGAGTGACCCAGCTCCAGGGACTGAAGGAACACCTCCTTCTTCTTCTCTCCTCCAGCCAGAGTCAGCTGTTCAGACAAAGCACGTGACGACCCACTCTGTCAGTCGTTTACAGTGACACCTCTGGGTGTGGAGGCTGTGCGTTTGTTTCCTTGTTTCCTGACCTTCTTTAATGTCAGCTTTTCTTTACAACGTTCTCAAACATGCGGCCCGTGGGCCACATGATTCCCATTACACATGGCCAAATGGCTGTGTGAAAAGTTCAGGTATAATAATATAATAATATAATAATATAATATAATATAATATAATATAATATAATATAATATAATATAATATAATATAATATAATATACCATCATATCTGCTGAGAGTTTCTCTCTTCTTCTTAATGCCATATTTGTGTGAATGTGTGTGTGCGTTTCTTCTAACCTCAACTTGATAAAGCTGCACCAGAACAGGCTGGTCCGCATGCCTACAGTAATAGAGCACCAAGTCGGCCAGCAGGGGGAGCTGTTCTCTGCTGCGGCCATCCTCTGAGTCAGTGCCTTCTTTACAGTCAGCCTGAAAGTGAAGTCACGATCACATGAAAATAAACAACAACAACTGAACAACTGCAGTATTTTTACTTCAAAGTACTCAGAAGAAGAACTTTGTTTACTCTCCGATGGCAGCTTTGTTGTTTATTCATTTTACTGTTGTTGCATATTTAGCTTTAAATTTGATGTCACAAGGGGGCGTACCTGAGAGAGGACATCAGAGGACAGGCTGAGAAGACTAAGGACGTTCCTGTCGTACCAGGGGTCCATCATGCCCAACATCTGGCCTATATCTGTAGTACCTTCCTTGACCACAAGGTCATTATTCTCCTGTAGAGTACATTTTAAAACATGTTAACTATACCATGCAGTATATATAAAGTACATGCAGTATATATACAGTAAATGCAGTATATATACATGCAGTATATATACAGTAAATGCAGTATATATACAGTAAATGCAGTATATATACAGTAAATGCAGTATATATACAGTAAATGCAGTATATATACAGTAAATGCAGTATATATACAGTAAATGCAGTATATATACAGTAAATGCAGTATATATACATGCAGTATATATAAAGTACATGCAGTATATATACATGCAGTATATATAAAGTACATGCAGTATATATAAAGTACATGCAGTATATACTGTATAAAGTACATGCAGTATATATACAGTAAATGCAGTATATATACATGCAGTATATATAAAGTACATGCAGTATATATACATGCAGTATATACTGTATAAAGTACATGCAGTATATATAAAGTACATGCAGTATATATACATGCAGTATATATACAGTAAATGCAGTATATATACATGCAGTATATATACATGCATTATATACTGTATACAGTACATGCAGTATATATATATATACAGTACATGCAGTGTGTATATTGTGACGTGTTTTTGTCAGTCCCATCAGTCATCAGTGTCATCAGTTGGTTTTAATGACTGACTGACAGACAGACTGACAGACAGACTGACCGACTGACTGACAGACTGACTGACAGACCGACTGACTGACAGACTGACAGACTGACTGACAGACCGACTGACTGACAGACTGACTGACTGACAGACAGACAGACTGACAGACTGACAGACTGACAGACTGACTGACAGACAGACTGACAGACAGACAGACTGACTGACTGACAGACAGACTGACAGACAGACTTACTGACAGACAGACAGACAGACTGACTGACTGACAGACAGACTGACAGACAGACAGACTGACTGACTGACAGACAGACAGACTGACTGACAGACTGACAGACTGACAGACTGACTGACTGACAGACTGACTGACAGACAGACTGACAGACAGACTGACTGACTGACTGACAGACTGACCGACTGACTGACTGACTGACAGACAGACTGACAGACAGACAGACTGACAGACTGACTGACTGTGAGTGTCCTCACCACAGAAGACGCTCTGCTTGGACTTCCTGTCTGGACCTCAGTTCCTGTGCTCCTCCTTCTGGTGGGTACAAAGTAAAAGTGCAGTTTGCACATCTTGGTGAGTCTGGAACATTTGCTCGCTCTCTCCTGCAGGTGGCAGTATGCTCTGGCCAGCCTGCCGGCCTCCTTGTCACCTCCAAACACCACCACCTTCACCTGGACGGGCAGGACCGTGACGTCGCTCTCATCACAGCTGAGGATGGGCCTCCTGCGGACGCACACGTGCTTCAGTGGACCTGTGGCTGGAGGAGCAGGTCTGGACCTGGACCTGGACCTGGCAGAACCAGTTCTTTGAAGGTCCTTAGTGACATCACTACAGCCCATGCTTTGTGCCCGCCGGCAGATGTTAGGGCTGTGAGGATTCCTGAAGAGCACGGAGAAGCGCTCCACGCCCAACAGGGATCTGGACTTCTTCTTAGGTTTCTTTCTAGGTTTGGGTTGGACTTCCTGCCCGTCCTCTGGGTCCCCACTGAAGTCACTGTCCACTCCAGATGAGGCCGATGGTGCGGACCAGCTGGAGGAGAGGCACACATTGGAGAACGTGGAGGCCCTGGAGGTGGAGGAGGAGACGCGATGGCTTTGAAAGTCCTGTTCCATTTTGTGGCCCTCAAACAGCTGTTCTTGGTCCACGCTGGCGTCGATGATGTCATGGCGGTGGAGTTCTGTTTCAGTGAAACAGTCTGCAGGCGAGTCCAGCTCTGAGTCACTGAAGATGATGTCATTTAATACGTCTGCCAATGAGAGACCAGTCAGAGGAAGTCAGGTCCTGGTGATTGGTTCTGGATTTATGAACGTCATGAATTTACCAAAGGTGTCATCGTCCCAGAGACGGGTGTGACATCTGGGGGGGGGCAGCATCAGGGTCTTCACAGTCTCTGCAGAGGAAAGACATGAAAAATGAATACATTTTCACTGCGTGTACTTTTTACTTCATTGATGAAGTACACGTGTGGAGCTGCTCATGAATAAAACGGTTTGGACCATGTGATCAGAGCGTTCAAAGCTGCGCAGCAACATGCTAACTCATGCTAACAGTTAGCCTCAGTTAGCCTCAGTTAGCCTCAGTTAGCCCTTCGACAAGACCGAGACGTCAGTGAAGAACAAGGTCCAACCTCCAAGAGTTCTGTCAGAACCTCCGTCCACCACTGACTGGGTCCAGAGACCAGAACTGAGCTGGGTCTCAACTACAGTCGAAGTGGGCTGGGGCGTGGGCTGGGTCGTGGGCTGGGGGTGTGGGCTGGGTCGTGGGCTGGGGGCGTGGGCGGGGAGCGTGGGCTGGGGGGGGGGGCTGGGTCGGGGGCTGGGGGTGGGGCCTGGGTCGT